AACAAAAATCACCGATTCATATATTAATACGTTTAATGAATATTAAATAAACGTTAAATGAATGTTTTCACTACACGCATAATACATGTACTCTTTGTAAGAATCAATCTTCATCGGTATCAAGCAACTATTAATAGTACCTCTAGTTGCAGCGAAAGCGAATCTTGAATTAATAATTATGCAAATAAATCACGTCAGACATGCATTCTTGATTTTGTCTTGGTTTTTAAGGTGTCATTCATTTAAGTTTTCCTAAATCTAAATTTCTTTAACAAAATCTTGACAGAAGTGTTACTTTATGTTCTTCAGTTCTAATTTTCTCAAAAAGAGTTAACGTTTTCATTTCTTTTTTAGTTTCCAAGGCGTGTCTAAGCCCATCTTTTGGGTAAAGAGAGCATGGAGCATCCTTAAATCTAGTCAGTAGTGTCTTTAGTCCCTTCGGCCAGGGGCTCGGCGCCCCTCGTTCCTGGGCTTTCACAGACCGTCACCCGACAAGGAATCCGCGAACTCTCGAACTTCCGTGACTTCATCATATTGCCGCCTGCCGTCACAAACGCTTCATTACTACAGTCCCTGCAAATCGCGAACCAAACAACGGTAAACGTTTAGAACCACTGAACCCAAAGCACGCATCGCAAGAACTGTGGAAGGAACGCTCTTCACGTCTGTCCTTCCTTCTCACGGGCTAGTGAAGGCCAGTGCTTTCGAGGAGCAGCGCGGCAAATACGAGGGCAGCGAACGCACGGGCACGGCTCTGGGTGACTCTTGGCTCCTTCTCACCACACTTGCAAATGTTTCATCTCAAAACATTGCTTTCCGTCTTATCCAGAATTTTTAATACCATCGAACTAGAAATTCCTTTCCGTTTCTACTGGTTTCAGGCTTATCCAATGTACTTTGTATGGGAAAATTCTCCGTTCTGAGATTTTTTCCGTGGATGGCAGGCTTCCGTCTTATACAGGTTTCGCCTTAGATGGGTATTACAGTAACGCATTTGCCCGAATGTATACGTGGGGTTTTTATTCCTTGGCGAGTGAGGGCCTGTCTTCACGATGGAATATATCACAGTTTTCCGCGTCTTTCTCCGTTGTGCCGATAATAATGATCGCCAGCACTTCTCGATACGGTCGCGATCATGCGGCATCTAGCGGCACGACCGAGAAAGACGCGAAATGCCGTGAGATATTCCATCGTGAACACACACCCGCACGCGTCAAGAAATAAAAACTCCAAGCATATGACAAGACGTTTTTGCCTAAATATCCAAGTCGAATGATGCGATGTCGACTTATATTCACAGATTAAGCCTAGTCGGTTAGGGTTAAAGTTTTTACATTGCCATTCCCTGTCTGGAAACTCGTAAATGATGCAACAATAAACTGCGAGAAGACAGTAACAATTTCGCGCTTATCTACAATATGTAATTTTACTCGCAGTTGTATTCTTGGCATCTTTCAGCGAATTTCATCCCGATATTTTTAAATGGGCCGGTAAAGAGAAAATCCCAAACGAATGGCATCGCATCGAACGAAACATCGAGAAAATGTACGTCGATATTTAGCTTCGTTGGAAGAGGCGGCGCGGAGTCTCGGCCCGGAGAGGGCGAGCCTGCGCGTTGCAAAGGACGGAAACGAAATAGAGGTGCTCAGACAGCACGTGCGTTTCCGCCTTCAATAAGGCTTACGGAATACTACTTATATTTAAATGTTGTTCAGTGCCTTTTTTTAAAATTTTGGACAGCCACAATAAACACTTCCAAAAACGTTTACATAACTTTATTAATTTATGTATTCAGGCGACGTTTCTCGGGCAGTTCGGTCTCCCTCATCAGGTACAACTGAAAATTTAATTACAAGAATAGTTCAAATGACGAGCCCATATGATTTTCAAAAAAATAACAAATAAGTCTACACTGTGCCCAATTCAATGAAAGCTCATCTGCTCTTATATCTAGAAAACTAAAACTAATATATACAAAAACATATACAAATTATACAAAAAACATAAATTAATTTTAAGTTGTGGAGTACAGTCCAGTCACATTATTGTTGAACGTTCAAATTGAGTCATTGCCGAAAAATATTTGGTATGGTCTCATAAATGTTCGTATACTGATTGGATTCTATTACTATTCTATACTAAATATTTTTTGGCACCAACCACCCCTATTTTTTACCTTCAGATCAAACATTTTGAAATTACACCTTCAACTTCAGTTCCGTTACGCCTTCAACTTTGCAATGACTCAATTTAAACATTCAACTCTAATGCGTCTGAAATGCAATCCACCACATACTTAAAATTTAGATATGTTTGAGTATAATTTGTACATATTTGGTATGTGTTTTTGAATATTTTACTTTTAGTTTTCTAGATATAAGAGCAGGTGAGCTTTTATTGAATTGGGTACAGAATAGATTTGCTATTTTTGTAAAAATCACAATGGCTTCATCATTTGAACTATTTTTGTCATTAAATTTTCAGTTGTATCTGATGATGAAGACTAAACAGTCTCCAAAACGTCATCTGAATACATAAATGAATAAAATTATTATGTAAAAGTTTTTGGAAGTGTTTATTGTGGTTGTCCAAAGTTAAAATTTTATTTGTTAATTTTTAGAAATGGGACTGAACATTTAAATATAATTATATTTTGACAACCAATTTCCAGCTTAACCTTGATAAAATTATTTATACCGCAATTTCTCTCCGAATTAACACATCTCAGTCATAATTTTTTGTAAAACGTATTACAAATCATAGAACATTTGGTGCGAAAACTAAATATTTTCAAAAAAAAAATATAATCAGAAACTTGACAATTATAACTGCTTTTCATACAGCTAAATCATGTTCCAACAATGAGACGTAATTCACAGAAATTTAGTTGCCGAGTCTTGGCGCGGAATGCTATTGTTACATTTCAATCTGATATTCCCTGAAGGTTAGAATTTTTTCTGTCATTTCAAATAGGTTTTAAAGAATAGCTAAAATATTGATTTGTAAACTTATAACAAAAGCTCAAATGCAAAAGATGCACAAAGAAATATGATATAAAACACAAATTCTAAAAATCATTTGTCAATCAATGCCAATTGATAGACATTATTCATCCAACTACAGAAAAGAATGATACAAAATGTATTTTCTTCGCAAAAACTACCTAACCTTGGAAACTTGCCGCTGTCTCCACTTTGCCCATGAAAAAGAGGGACAGATGTGCACAACTTTGAAGTTCACAACTCTTTATCACATGACAGTAAACGATGCAAGTTTCAAGTTTATGCTGTTACAGAATGTAAAAGAACTGTTAAAGAAACACAGGCCATCAACAAGTGCAGGACAGATAGAAAAGCTGGTGCAAGACAGGAATGTTCTTCAGTGGCATCTGATTAAAGACTAAGAACACAAAATTTTCACAGGGGCCCCAAGAGTCAAAAGACGTCGCAGCTTGGAGGGAGGACCAAAACAACAAAAAATCTTGATTCATGTGAAGATGAGGGTAGAGAAAAATCCATGATTATGATGGTTATAGGGAACAAGAAAATTATAATTCTGTAGTATTAACATTCTCATCATCCAGACTATTTTTTTGTCAATTTGACAATTTGCAATTTTCACTAAATAATAAGATTTAGATAAAATGTTTTAAAAAATACTCCAGAGGTCTCTTCAAAATTAGGGGATTATCCAACATTCACAGTCAACTTATATTCAGGTAAATATGATATAATGTATTATATAAAAATAAAATAGATTTATGCAGTATATAATAATATAACAGGTATTTAGAAAGTGAACAAGTCAAACGAAGGGCATGCAAGTTTTCATAATTTGAAATAATATATTAATAAAGAACTGGTTTCCGCAACTGGCACACATAGAACATCCAATAACTAGTATTTGTCGCACCCCCAGTACAAAAGTGCCATAACTCAAAAAAATTGAATTTTGATACATTGATTGCATCTATTATTTAAAGTGAAATTTTATTCTCCTTCGTCCTAAAATAGTATCATTACTTTTTACGTCTATTTTAGTCAATTACTGGCAACGTTCGTACTTCATAAACGTGAATTGATAATGTAATTTCAAACCTTTAAAGTGCTCTCCTGAAAAACCACCTGTTTTAGATTCCCACACTTTCCTATTGGAGTGCGAAAAATTTTATGTATATCACCATTATTAAATCAAATGTATATCATGCATTATTAATATCTTTGTAATATTTTGAAAATAAAAAGCCTTGGAGAAATATTAGATTATATTCCATTCCATATTCTACCCAAAATTTTACAACCACTTCTGTTTGATTCAGTATCATTTATCTCTTCAGAACAGTCTTTATTCTATTCAATACCAAAAGTGACATTTCATCACAGAGGTTCTATCACAAGACTTTTTATTTGTGGGACATCAGAAATATCAATAGGTTTCAATTTCGTCTTTGTAAAATGACACAGCTGATCTGAAATTCTAAAATTATTCTAAATAATTAAAGGAACTAAGGAAATAAAAGTATTCTTTGATAATTGAGGCATTTCCGAAAATAGAAGTTAGTTCTAGAACCAAAATGGTACACCTTCTCCAAACATCATTTTCCTTATTCCTTGTGTTCATTATGAGCACAAAGACTTCTAAGCACCAAACAACTACATAGGCCGGACTTGTAAGCTTCCACGGCAGGAGTCATTTGATTCTTGGCTTTCTAGGATGAGGCCAGGTCTCAGTTGAGTGAGCTGATGTTTCTGCCATTGTCTTGTGGCCTTCCTCAGAGCTATACTGCTGAAGTAGCTTCAGAGGTATAGCGCTGAAGGCCACAACACAATGACCAAAATGTCAGCTCATCCCTGACAGTCAAGAATCAAATGACATACACCAGCAGCCTGACTGGCCTAAAAATTGAAACCTATGACATGTTTTTTTAGACAATAAATGATTTTCTAAAAATTCTAGATTCATTAAAATATATTAATAGCCCAACCAATCAAATTACTTACATTCACTGCTCTGCTTTGAGAACTATTTCCTTTCCGATTCTCAATCTTGCACGATTGGACTCTTGAAGGTGTAACCTACAAAATAAATACTTATTACTTAGATACCTAAATCATTAGATTACAGGAAAAGAAAATTATCCAGAGATGTGATTAGACTATACTTTACACTATACTTCATTCTACAGGCAATACACTTCACTTGTGTACCAGTATATGCAACAATATTTTGCAAAGAGAAGATTAAACAGATATTTAAAATGCCTTTTATAGGTAAAAGAAACAATAATTAAATTTAATGGTATGACAATGATACTTAATTTCATAAATAAAACATTTGTAAATAAAATAACAAAGTTAGAATTAATAAAAGAAATAACTATGTCATTGGAAAAAGAAGGCTGATTCATTTAATTTACTCCACAAACCAACCTATTAAGTTTTTTACAGAGGAAGACTTCAGAGAATACCCAGCCCATACTGGATGGCACGTTTACTCCCGTATGTATTACTGAATCATACAAGAATGTTGGAGTCAGCATTCATAAAAATTATTATTTTAGAAATTAAATTGTTTGGTTCAAATTTTGTCAAACAAACACAATAGCTTTTCAAATTGGCATGCACAACATGAGAAGATTGTGTTAATAAATATTCTCAGGAATTTTGAAAATGCTTCATAAATACAAGCAAATAAATACAAATTCAATGTTATTATTTTTTTCCCCAAACATTCAATAAATGTTACAAAAACTAAATTACTACTACATTGATCACTACTACGCAAATTATTAACTACATTGATCATACTTCCTCAAAGATCCAATTCAGGACAATTTGATTTCAAATAAACAAATACTTCTTTATTTTAGATTTTTACCATTTTAGATTGTTTGTCAACAGTAAATTGATTCTCTCTGTTCTAAAATTCAATATTCTCATAATGAAGTACACATGCCTCATAATTTAATAAACATCTAGAAATACTAAAATTAACTTCCCAATCAATTCACATGCATGAACTGTTATCTACAACCTTTCTCCCACTTCAAGAGGATCAAAAAATTGTGTGTCACCTTTTTCTTATTCTGTTTCTTTTTCTTTGAATGCTCTTCATTTGTTAATTGAATAGGAGGAATTCTTTCATTCAATATCTGCCGTTCTGGAAGCACAACTCCTGTTGCCTGTTCAACAGTATAACTCGGAAGATCGTGGAAATCTGAAACAATTTCTAAATAAATGGATGATGAAGTTCATGATATTCTTCAATATTCATTCAATTAAACAATTACTAGTATATACCTGGATGTAAATCAGACTTTTCTACTTCTTCTAAATTTTGTGGCTGAACATTTGTTGAAGTAACCTGGAATAGAGGGAATTTGGTTTAATATTATAAGGAAAATGGCAATAAAATGTCCTTTATTAAATAAAAATGCTTAGCATACAGTGAAGAGATTAAATTACATTTTCATTTCCCCCCATCCCCCGACAATTCTATTATATTACTATATTAAGTAACATGATTTAACCACATTTTCATTACCAGGGCCAATCAATAAAAGATTCTGTCGAAAAGCCGCCATTTTCAGGTGCACAATCATAATACTTTCTCAGTACGAAGTATGTGAAAGAAAATAAAACAGATTTTGAAGTTAGAATAAAATAAGACAAATATAAAATTGAAAACAAAATAAAAGTATAAACTATATCATATTTTTGTAATGTAACAAACACAATTATAATGCATGAATCTCAAATGTGGCAGCCAAATTAGAAACTAGAGAAGCTACAACAGCCTAAAATAATGCTAGTCATTGCCTAGCCTATGGTTTTTTAACTTTCCTGCATTTTATCCTTCTTCCATCTGTCCCCCCTTATAAGTGTAAAAAAGAAAATTTTCCTTACATAAGTGAAGTTTACTTTACTTCCCCACATAATCATCTCCTTTAATAAGGCATTTATCATATTTGTACACAAGCAATATAATTTCCATTTTGAATTCCTCTCTAATAAGACAAATGTTCACAGCAGTTTTCAATCAACGTAACTTGTGAACTATAACCCTTAGTGTTCAAAATTGATTGTAATCAATATGATTTGCCACAAATCCACCAAGTAAAGAATCAGAAATCTGAGGGAAAATTATGTACAACTCCTTGAGGGTTACATATCTTAATCAAGATTTCTTTGTTTACTTTATTGTCTGTGATCTGTGATGAGTGATTGTTGATCATTTGCTGTCCATTATTGAACATTTCACAGTTTTTCTTGCCATCAGTCTTTCCTCAACAGTAAACTTCTGCAGGTTTCTACATTTATGCATTCAATCAATTTACTTAGCAAACGGAAAAGTAGCAGGTGTATTCATCAAACTCCCAAAAGCAAACGATACAGTGATAAAATACTGATAAAAACTTGTCATTTAGAAACTTATTTGACAGAATCTTTAAATAAACTAAAAAGCTACTTGTTGTTGAATGATATACAACTAAATGTTGACAAAACTGTTAATCAACTTTAAACTTAATCATAATATCCTCAATGAAACATTAAAATTTTAAAAACGAAATTTATATAAATATACAACTGTATTCTATATTTACATTAATTACTACCAAAAGATTTATTGATGACTAATGTTCTCTCTTCTTCCCTACTTGTTATAACAAAAAAGTATTTAAATTACTTATATGTGTAATGTATATTTATTGTCCCTAAATGTAGAAGCTGGACAATGGCATATGATAGATAATAATATTCATGGTTCATTCAAAAGTATTTTTGGCAGGTTAAACCAGTACCAAAAGTAAATTGATAGAAGATGATTTTCATTTTCACGTCTTTGCAGTGACATCAAAATGTCAGTATTTCAAATCAAAAGGGACAGTATTTCGATGGAAATGGAATTTTCCAAATATACTATATTTCATTAATGCTAACTGAAATCAATATAAATAGCAATTATGAATTTCACAAATGAAAGTGTTAGTAATACATCCCAATGTTGGCTCTGAGCAAAATGTTGCTAGCATCGGCAAAGACAAAGATTATTACCCATCATCGATGTTTTCTGATTCTGTTTTCCCCAGCAAAATATTGGCTGTTAACGCAAACAAAATGTTAAAAATATTTCTGCATATTTTTTTAGATTTTAGAAAATTATTATAAACTGCCCTGCAGGTTCTGCGGCAATCAACTGAATCTTTTCAACTTCTGGTTTGGTTAGGTCCAAAATTTGAGTGAAGCAGAGAAATTGGCCAAAATTTATAAACTTCGACAGATATGTAATAAACTTGTAATTTTTTTTTAAAGCATTAAATTTTTATAATGTACATTAAGAGACCATATTGTAAATAAAAAAAGTTTCCAATTTATGTTCAAAATATGTATAATAAACATTTATAAAATGATAATTTCTTGTGTAAGAATATTTTGGAAATTAGATAAGAATATTTATATTTATATAGAATATTTCATACATTTCAAGTAGGTTTTTTATGAGTTTTATTGTTTTTATTAATGTGTTTTATTAAAAAAATCTGGGTGGGTTTATTTTGGGTTAGAAAAAATTATGCCAACCCTGCTAGTGAAGGATTAAGCTGGTAGGCAGGAATGAATGATCATTATTTCCTGGTTGACATTCCAAGTTAACATTCAAGGAAGCCAATGTTTTGTTTTCGTTTGATAAAAAGGAAACCAAGTTCAAAATTGAATATTTTAGGGACACATCTACTATCTGACATTAAAAATCTTATATTTTCATGTATTTTAATTATGAATTAAATAAAATAATGAGTCACTAAACAACACACTGCAAAAGGAATTAGTAATATCTGACACATTCTCTTATAAAATACTCCAAATTTCTAGTATCGGATTCAATATACATGTACAAAAATATAACTGTAAATGTAATTCAAAATACTTACATGAACATCAGCTTTAATTGTTTTTGGTAATAAAGAACTCTGATCCCTTTTGGCAACTGGAGTGGGTGTTGTTGCATGATGAACTGGCTTCCCATTACAGCCTTGTGTGTTGAATGAAGGTCTGTAAAAACATAGAAAATTAACATTTGAAGGGTACTGCATTTCAGGAAAAATGTTAAAATATGGAGTTTGACATTTTCATATAATAGGAAACCTTATATCTGATCTCTTCTTCGAGTCCACATATATCACATCATTCCTTCCATTTTCCACATCACCCCCTCTGTTTTCATCACACCTAATCAATGAATTTGATTTTTTTCTGAAGTTGTCCTCAAGAATTCTATGTTGCTTGGGATTTGCTTCATTGTCATCATTATCTCTTTTGCGCTTTATAGATCCCGGATTTAAAACATCGGTTTCAATTACTTTAGGGAAAAACATCACTTTGACTACCGTACCATCTCTTAGATTATTCTCACACTCAATATCCACCCATGTGTTAAATTTTGCGGTAAATTCCTGGAAAACTGGGTAAGAATCCGTCAGTAAATCCAAAAGTGCCGGATCTGAACAAACATGCTTCTTACACTCTGTGAAAAGAGAATTTGATCCATCGAGATGAACGACCTTCTTCCGATTCATCCCATAATCCATAAGAATATCCCGACTGTTTTCGTTTAATGGTAGCACTATGTCATTCACGGTCATTGGTTCTTTCTTAATATCTACTTCTTTCTTGATAGTAGAATATTGTTCAAAATTTGTATGCATTGTCTCTAGTTCGGGCCTCTAGGCATTAGCTGCTATTTCAACAAATCAGCACTCTGCAGATTTAAGTATCTTTTGTTAGCTAAATAGAAGTTTTCTTAATTTTTCTGTCATGCACCATAAAGTTTCACTCCTAGCTCAATAAAATAACACATCAAATAACAGGTGTAGCCCAATATAAAAAACACTGAACGCTTTTCATAAAATTTAAAATCAAAACAACACAAACAAGACACGTTACGACAGTATATTCTTTCGTGCGCACATCGAATCTCGGCCTCTGTATTAAAGATTCTTTAATAAAGAATGGTACAACACTCCTTAACTCTCCAGTACACTGATTGTTATACCATGAAACACTATGGAAAGTCCATGGTTATATATCACAGATACTGTTTACAGATACGACATTCAATAGCCGAAACAAAGCCCAAATTTCGCGGCTGTCCACGTGCACACCATGCTTAGCATGCACAGTTGGCACCACACGCAGTCTGACAAACTCTTGGGACTTTTTTATAACTAGCCCTGGTTAGCCCTGCTTCAATGCTGCGATCGAACGGACGGAGACCTTACTAAACCAACCGGTGGAAGGGACGCAGCGTAAGGTACTTTTGACCAATTAGGTGCGTTAACTATATTAAGTAGTATTATTCTTCTGATGTAACTTGTAATTTATTACAATTTCATACAATTGATGGTCCGGGGCCCGTTTTAGTGGGAGGCTAATTTTTCAAGGTGTTGCAATATGTAATGCAAAAACATGAAATGAAACAACAAGTTTATTTACAAAATTGATGTAAATACGAAACGAATGAACACAAGTTTACTTATAAAAGACAAAATCTGTTCTTTCATTGAAAGATAAATATAACTAACAAATAACACTAAATATATTACAAATGACGTTATAACCGTAACAATCCTTGTACTTTCCTTGATATTCGTGCTGCAAAATCGCTGATGATGTCACTAAAGTCCAATTCACGCATTATATCTAACCCGATGCTCATGATTACCAAATTTAAAAAAAGTATTTCCTGCTTCATGGATGTCCGCAATCGGTTTTCAATTATTTTGTGTTTTGAGGAGGAGCGCTCGCCACTGCCGTTTGTTACCATCGAAATTAGATATATCCTTAGAGTTAATTCAATGTTTGAGAAAGTGTCCTGGACACCCTTCTTCATGATAAGCATGTACAGGAAAAGTTCAGTGCTGATACATTTTGGCTTCTCGTCTGTGAATACATTGGCAAATGTTAAAATCTGACACAGTCCATCGGTAAATGTAATGTTCAAGTCATCTGAATAAGATCTAAGGAGTTGCTCTGCTGCGGCCTTAAGTTCGTCTGAAGACAGTTCTTTCAGATGGCTTAAAAAGTTAAATTGTCTTGATGTATCTTTATATGATTGAAGTCATTGGTCAAGAGAAGCGATTAACTGATCAATAACAGTCAAGAAAGTTTCTGTTCTACATTTTTCAGAAGGGCTGAGGTGTACTTCTTCCAATAGGTTAAGACGAACATTTTGATCCCTGTGTTCAGTTTTCGTGAGAACATATTCTGTTGAACCAGACAGTTCTTCGCCTTGCTTCTCATTAGTTTCGAAGGAGTCACTTTTAACGCAACACATTTTTTTAAGCTGATCAGTGACGCCACATCTGTATTTAGATCGAGTTTCGCTTGTTGTAGATTTTTACTAGTAGCAACTGATCTTTGTAGAATATCATTCCAGAACGTGGTGAAAATACCAATTCCAAGCCGATTCATGTCAGTCATGCTTCACACTGAACACAAACTTTTTCTTCAAAGTCACCAGCAATCTGTTTAAGTATACATTAATCTGTTGATATTCATGCTTAAGTACCTCAGTTGCGTCAGCTTTGCAGGATCATCGCGTTTCAGTCAATGCTGAGTCATTATTTTTCAAAGCTTCAGAAGCCAATGCTGGTGTGTTGAAACAGTGAAGAAGACGATCAGCTTTTTAAGGAAGTCAAAAAATATACAACACTCGAGTAGCTGTCTACAACATTATTAGAAACCAAATTTAGAGAATGTGCTGCACATAGAATCCAGGATGCAAGCTCGTTATTCTCTCTCACTTTGGTTTGTTGACCAATATACTTTCCACTCATTGCAAATGCATTGATAATTTTAACCGCGTTAGTTTCCCAGTTCTAGGTCACGTCTCTTCAAAAATACCACCAAGGAATTGAACATGTCTTGAGGGCCATGCCTTTTCTTTGCTAAGAATGTTCCAATGCGTTCTACAAGACTATCTTTCCCCTCACTGCAATACATGGGTTAGTTGGTCAATGTGGGCTGCATCGGAGTCCAAATAGATGGAGAAGAATTTTGATTTCTTTCCTTGAGAAATAATTTCTCCGAGGACTTATTCACCTGTTACACTGATAATTTATTCCATTATTGTAGATGACAGGTTGTTTGTATGACTCTTGTTGCAATTGACTTGAGTTTCAATGCTGTACAAGAGAGTCGTCGTATAGGACGATGATTTCAAGAATACCCAAAAAGTTTCCATTTCTGAGTGATCCAAACAATTCATTATCTCATCTCTAAATGCTAAACCACACTCGGCAATAAACTGAATAACATGTACTACTCGTTTCAACACTGATCTGCAATAATGCTGCAAACACTTGACCTGTTATGACAGCTCCGTATCATTTCGCCAATCGCTTTTAACCTCCTATCCAAAAAAAAAAAAAGTCTGAGCCCATATTGCGTTGACTACTCATAAGGTTGCCACCTCTCCGGTTTTAGACCGGAGACTCCGGTTTTTGAGCTTCATCTCCGGTCTCCGGTTCGGTTTTTGAAAAATCATCTCCGTTTTTTTTTTTTTTTTTTTTCGCAATTTCAATACATTTTCCAATGTTTTACCAAAAATAAATAGATTTTTCAACTAAAATTTAAAAGCTTTTTTCTATTTCCATCAGAAATCTGTCCTTTCCTTCTTCATTTTAGAAATATAACGAAGCAGACATGAAAATTGGTCTTGCGATTCTCGTGTTAATAGCCATCCGCTGTCTCTTTCTCTTTCTAACGCCATATCAGACAGAAGACAGCATCTAGCGATTATGCGCGAATGGCATCGCGCAACAGTTTTCAAGAATAATCCCCCGGGTATGCTATTCGATATCTTCATTTTGAACAAGATCGAATTTTCGTTTCGTTTTTTCTTAGAAAATTAATTTCTTTGAAAACATGAAATAAAGGTACATTTGTGAATTCGGTTAATGTTTGGACCGACAACGAAACAAATTAAAATCTTACGCGCGTAAAATCTGAGTTGAACTACGACTTGATTTGGTGATCAATTCAATTGATTGCTTAAAAAACCTGAGCAATATCTCCTTGCTAAAAAAAAGCTCCTGAGCAACGAAAACAGTATAAGAGCTGGAAAAAGTAGAATGTTAGCAAAGTGTAACACTATTTTGAATAAATTGTTAATTATTTATAGATCCTAGGAACCAAAGATATGTAAAATATATTTTAAAGAAATAATAAAAGTCTGCGTCAATTTCTTTTTAGATTTCAGTAATTACGCATCCCCCGGTTGCAGGGTCCTCCGTTTTTTCTGGATTGGCAAGGTGGCAAACCCTAACTACTCAT